GAGAACCTATATTTATGAAAATATTTAGCATTCATTTCACGTAAAACATAGTAACAGAACTGAGTGATTTATTTTCACAATGCATAGGCAGAGAAGTAGAGCAAGCCAGAGTTTAGAAATAATTGAGGTCTGTAGATCTCAGGTATGTATTTAAGTGGTCCTTTGAACTGCCACCCATGTTCTGTGTGAACATAACTTTTCAGAGCACTTGTGATTTTCCTCCTTTACAGGGCTGCTGAATTGTGGTATGAGGTCAGGCCCGTGGTCACTCTTCTGACACCAGCAAGGTAGGGGCAAGTGATTCTGAAATGGGTAAAAATAGAGATGTTTTGTAGCTAATTTAATACAGACCTGTGCAAATTGTCTCAGTTATTTGTGTGAATTCAAGAAATAAAACCCATGTGTCAAACTGGCAGATAAAAGTCTCATCTGCTGAGAAATCTGACTTTGAAAACAGCTGCTAAATTCTCCATGTGCAGAGTAGTCTTTGGTATGGCCCGGTGCTGCTTCACTGTGGGATTCTGACTGGCACACGTGACTTAATCACCTTCCTTTTTATTTTGATTTTTTTTTAATCCTGTCAGCTGAAAGATAAAAAAACATATTAACCTCCCTGATGAAACTTTATAATTCCCAACACTGAAACATTAACCAAGTCCTTAATTAAGGGAGACTGAAAGTAGAAGAATGCTTTTATGTCATCAGCTGGTTTTTGCTCCAGTCATCTGCCTCATTCAAGCATAGGATAATATGAAACCTCACGGGTCTGCTAAAGGCTTGACTTAAGTATACTGTGGACTTAGTAATTTAATAAGAATGGGGCGTTGTTCTTAAGAACTTCATTTTCTCTTGCTTGTACTCAAGTAAAAAGCAAAAAGTATGAGCAGCTAGTGAGCAAGAGGCTCAAGTCAGACCCAGAGGTCTGAGCCCAAGCTCTGGCTGCACAAAGGTGTGTTTATTCCTGTGTGCCTCTTCCCTCACGCACTAGGAATAGCAGGAATTAGTATGAGGCCAGAAACTTCCCTAGGCAGAGCACAGCTGCTCCCTTTTCTCTGTAGTTTCTGCAGTATTGAGCGTGATGGCTTCTCAGAACTGCCTGGCCATGGAGCGTGTGAGGCACCATAATTGAACAAAAACCAGTGCACATTCAGTGATGAACTGGCACCTCAGCAATGGTGCTGTCTGGTCCTCCTCCAGCAGCGAGCTGTTTTAGTGCTTTGTTCCACAGAATGAAGGGTTAAGGATCTGAGGCTTATTCCCAGACACTGATCCATGGCAAGTTTTCCCAGTAACTCATTATGGGGCCAGTTGCCTACACAAGTGCTTTTTAAAGGAGTAATCTAGCTGCTCTCCTCTAGTGTCAAGGTATTAAAAAATAAGTGTGGTGAAATTCTTCATATGAGACTTAATCTACTGGGTGAAGGAGGCACAAAAATTACTGAAACTTTCTCAGTCCTCTGAAATAACTCTCTGAGCAGATATAATGGAAACAAACACAGGACAATGCTTCACCACACCAGAAAAAGTAATTTACGTAGAGTGAGGAGCTTTACACTGGGGTTTGTCTCTTCACCTTATTAAAGCTGTAAACCTAAAAATGCCCATGACTGTAACTGCAGGATTGCAGCAGACTGTTCAAACTGCAGGATGTGTGTTTGGGAATTAAATGTTTTGGTGGTTTTGGCATTATTTTTCTCCCCTTGTGTGACGCTCTCTCATGCACCTACACAAGTGCAATATTCTCTCTTGATTTTTCCTTCCAGGTCTTTTTCATGCCCAGGGACCTCACCTTTGTTGGCTCAAGTGCAAACATCATTTCTGAAGAACGATACCAAAGTCAGCCTCTGTTTCCTCAGTTTCTTCCAGTTCTACCCTTGGCATCCCAACAGTGACCCTGAGCTCCAGTGCATGCAGACAAACTTCTGCCACTCAGTAAGTCTGTGCTTAGATTAAACCATACCATCCCTGTAGCAAGCTCAGAATTGAGGCTTAAGAGTTGCATACCAAGATTTAGAAATTATGGCTTTGCATCCAAAAGGCTCCTTGGCCACAGTGAGAAAAGGAATGGGCTCAAGGACCAAAAGCACACTCAGAAATTAGTTGATGCACCATGTTCTCCAGGGTCAGCATTTTTCAAGTGCTGCTGTGTTCCTTCAAAAGGCAGGAAAAAAAAAAAAAACCAACAAAAAACCCAGATTCATGGACTTAGAAGAACCAAGTTCCTGTGGGTGCAGTATGTGCCACAGAGTGGAAATTAAAAACCAGAGAATTAACAGGGTTTGTTGTGTTACAAAGCTTGAAAGCATTTTTATCCTTATATGTGTGTACTCACAGAAAAACATGCTGCACTAATGAAAGACAACTTTATGTTCCCAATCCTATTTATTGTTTGTTGCCAAGCAGTCTAAGCTATGGGTTTGTTTGGTTTATTGTAGGGATGAAGAGGAGGTGCTTGTGGGGTTTTTGACCCCCTTGGCTATAGGTGATGTGTACAAGGTGTGCCTTAAAGAGAGTGGGTAGAGAGGCAAGTTTAATAATGGGTATCTTGACAGGGTGAATGTGAAGGTGGGGAACTGAGGACATGATGGGTCCCATGAGATCATGTGCAGCACTATCCCCCCTGAAATCTATCAAAAATTCTCTGTCTCCCCTCAAAGGGAACCAGCCTGAAGAAAAGTCCAAAAAAAGGCAACATGGTGGGACCTAAATAAAAGCTAATAGATGAGCTGAGCTAATATTAGTTTCCTGATATATAAAGCCAAATGGATTAATGGATCAGCTCATGCATTGCCTAAGGAAACAAAAAGAAAATCTTCAATACTTTTGTGCACATTGAGGACATGAACAATATGGGTCTTTAGAAAGTAAAAACCCAATTTGGGGGAATCAATTACTACTTCTTTTTTTCTTACCCTTTTTTTTTTTTTTTTTAATTTAAAGGAAGTTCACAGAGAGGTAAAACTTGGGTAACACACCAGCCAGAAGTCATGCGTCTCAGACACCACAATGATGGTCGATCTCGGTTTGCATCAGCCTTGCCCGGGCTCTTTTTAGCATTCCAGCTCTAGCTAATGGAAATCAAGCCCATTATGGTAAACGTAGGAAGCAAGTACATTAATAGTGGGCACTGACATTAATTCAAATGGTAAACAATTCAGAACTGTTCTCAGTACATACTAGATTATGTATCATCTTACCTGCTGCTCCAGAGGGCTGTGCCTTTCACGGGTTTTTAAAGCACAGAAGACTGTCTGGCACAGAGTTTTCTGCTTTAGTAAACTATTTTCAAATTCTGCTTTGCTTCCTATCAGTCCCACATACTTTTTTCTTTATTGTTTTGGATGCAAGCACTTTCACTCCAGATCTGACACAGACTGGCAATGCCAATCTGTTCCTTACTTTAAAAACAGGCAGATGGGGCAAGCTTAGCAAAGGCAAGATGTGGGGGAAAATCTAACGCGAAGTAGAAAGAAAAATTGAGCTTATTTATACAGTAACACGTGTGTTAGAGTAATGCCTCCCTTCCTCAGCTATGCGCTCCCCCATCTTCTCTCTCACACACGTATATACACACACACTTTAACTGTGCTTTTGTGTTTTGTCAGAATTAATGAGAAAAGTTCCCTTGCCCTAGGGGTAATTAGTGTCCTTGGAGTTAAATAAGCTAATACTTAGACACCTCTGGCACAGGCAATTATGTTTGTGTATTGAATAATTGATTCAAAGAGGGGGGGAAGGGGCTGCTAATCAGATCTGAGCATAATGAATTGATTTAATTAACAGGGGAATCTGAGGGTCCCTGGGAAATGTGTGCATTTATTCAGCAGCAGGAGAGAGTGCAAAGCACATAAATTGAGAGAGAGAGCGAGCGAGGCAGGCGGCAAGTGCTTTTGCTTTCAGTGATAGGTTCACATCTTTCCTCCCTCCCACCCCCCCTTCCTTTGAATATAATTTTAGATTTAGAGTGAAATCAAGAGAAAAGCACTTTAGAAGCCTGGAAAGCTCTTGCAGTGGCAACAGCAAAGGGGAGAGAGGTTGTGAGCGATCACACGCGATTACATTAAGACAATTTTTGACAGCGCAGGTTGGGCAAGGACGGAGCAGGGGGAGCAGCCCCCGATATTGGTCCTCCCTTACCTTTTTCCTCTCTCCCCCCCGCTTCCCTTCTTCTTTGATCCCTAAACTGGCACTCGAGCTGCAGCGGCGGGGCCGGGGGCGAGGCGGCTGGTGCAGGAGCCCGGCTCCAGCTCTCCGGCGCCCAGCGCGGCCGTAGCCGCCGCAGCCCCGCTCCAAACTCGCGTCCCGGGGCAGCGCCGGGGCGGCCGCGCCGCTGCCCCCGCCTCGGCAGCGCCCCGGTGCCCGGCCCGGCGCCTCGCCCGCCCCGGAGCCCAGAGCGGCGGCTGGAGGGGGAGCGCCCCAAGGAGCCGGAGCGGCGGCGGCGGCGGCCGCCCTCGGCGCCCGGGACAATGGTGCTGGACAAGGAGGACGGTAGGTGGGATCGGGGCGCGGGGCCCGCCGCTCCCGCCCGGGCGCCCCGGCGGCGGGCGGGGAGGCGCGGACGGGGGACGGAGGGAGGCGGCGGGCTCGGGGGAGCTGCCCCGCGCCGCGGCACGGCGCTGCCGCCCGGCCTGTCCCGCACCGCTCCGCTCACAAAGGGGGCCGGGACGCCCGGGACGGCGGCCCCGCCGCGGCCGTGGGTCGCTCTCCGCGGTGGCCGGGCCGGGCCGGGCGGGTGTCTCCGGCCGGGGGGTACGGCAGCGGCTGGTCGCGGCCCCGCTGCGTGCTGCGGCCGGCCGGGGAGGGTCTGACACTGCGGCCCCGGCACCGGGCCGCCATCAGCGCCGCTGGCCGCAGCGTGGGTCCCCGCCGGGCCAGCTCCGCCGGCTCCCGAGGCCGCGGGTGCCCGAACGCCGCCCCGCGCCCCCACTGCGGCCAGGGCGGCCCTGCCTGCTCGTGTAAATGGCCACAGAACGCCCCTGTGCCGGGCTGGCGGGGGCTTCAACTCGGAAAAGTGGATGCCAGGCTCAAGAGACAAGTGGGAGATGCTCTCCTTCGCTGTTGTCTTTTTTTTTTTTTTTTTTCCCCTCTCCTCTACCTCTTTTCCTCCCCCTTCCCCTTGTCTTTTGATCTGGAGTTTCTGCCTCAGAACGGGGAGAGCCTGCCCGCCGCGACACCGCCGAGTGGGACGGGCACGAAGAGCAGTCCCGGGCAGGCGGGTGCGAGCGAGCGGCCGTGTGGGAGGGGGCCGGAGCGCTGACAGCCGCCAGGGTAAATGCTCGCTGCTCCGGAGAGGTGCGTGGGGAGGTCGCTCGCTGCACGCTCGTCACATGCCTCTGGGCCCTCGCAGAATCCCTCTCCCAGCATCTTTTTTTCCCCTCCAGTTTGTTGAAGCCCTCTGAAGCAAACTGATGTAGTGTTATTAATGGGGTCTGTAGTGCTCCAGTAGAAAGCGCGTGTGTTGGAGAAGAGGGAATGAACTTGTCTCACTGGTCAGTGAGAGGGAACAGCAGAAAGACTTTTCTCATCCCTCGCCCCCTGTGCACTTAGGTAAAAAGGTTAAGTAATGACCGAGGAATTAAACACGGGTAATTTCTTGCTGGTGTGTAGAACAAGGTTTGTTTCTCCTCCGACTTTCAAGGGTAACCTGCGTTGCGAGAGTCCCCTGAATTCTGCTCAGCTGCTGGAGGAAAAGGGAGGAAGGGCTGTTAACATCTCAATTAATACCCGTTAATAATAATAACGGGTGATGTCTTTATGGCGGTGACTCTCTGTCAGGGGGTGCCTGCCAACCCGCGTCTGTTCCCCGTGATTGGCAGGCTGCCAGCAGGATGCTGCCTCCATTGCAGGGGCGAGAGGCACAGGTGAGCTGCGAGAGGACCCCGAGATCTGAAGAGGGTTCCCTAATAGGGGAGTTTGGGCTCTTTCAAGTGTCTCAGACGTACTCATTAAACACGAGGAGCTCGGGGCCGGCCTGACGGTGCTGTAAGGAAATGAAACTAGAACCCTTGATTATCCAGACAGTTCTCAACAGCCTCCTTCCAGGAGATTTCATGAGTGGCTGTGTATAAAAGGGAATAATGGTGGTGGATGGGAGAGGTAAAGAGGAAATTAGTACGGGGTGCACTTAAAAAAAGGAGCAAAGTAGGAAACAAACCCCTGATGAGAGGGATGTGAAGATCAGAGCAACAAGGTGAGGTAATGCGAACGACTCTCCTGTGCTGTTGATGGAGTAGTTACGCTCGAGGAGAAATCATGGTCACTTTTAAAGATGCCCTGGAGAAATAGGGGACGGAAGGTGAGACTCAGAGAAGAAACTCTTTTTATGAAGAGGTCATTTTACCTTTGTAAGTTTCTTTCTGCCTGATTCACATGGGCTCCACTTGCCCGCTCATCTGTGAATGTTAAGAGGGGATGCTGGACCTGCATAGGTTACAAATGGACTAAAATGGAAGCTTTTGCTAACTAAACCAAATCCTTTTGAAATCAAGCTTGAATGAGTTTGTTAATAAAAACAGGTCTGTTTTACTCCCATAAATGGCCCTTTTTATTTTCCTTTTATTTTTCTTTTTCCCAGAAGCCGGTCTGATTTTTACCATCTAAAAATCCCAGCATTGTGGCTACTATCCAATTCTCCCCTTGATTTAAGAGGCTTTGCCATGTAGAGTTTTTCTTTGAGGGGTTTTCTTCTTTTGAGGTCTCTGGCAGCGGTGGGGGTATTCATAGTTATTACTGCATAGAGAAGGCAGGATTTCAGGATTACCCCTCCCAGAAGTCCTGGTGCATCGCAAGGAGGACACTTGCTGCCTTGTAGATATCAGCCCCTGGCTTTTGCATCACTGAAGGCCACTTGGGAAGCTGGGCCACGGCCATTGGCCTCGTGTAGCTGCCCACTGTTCCAGCTTGGGGCCTCAGGGCTGTGTGCCAGCCCCAGTGTGACACCAGGGTTGCCCCAGCAGTGCGAGAACTGCGGATTTGGGTTTCCACTCCGGGTTTGTGAGCAAAAAGCTTCCCTGGCAAGCACGCTCTGTGGTGCCGAGAAGGAGTAGAGACTCAGTAATACTCTTATGTGGGTCTTCACAGATATCATTGAGGATGAAGGGGCAGGCTGAAAAAATAACAACAATAATAATGTTTCTGACTTGATGTGTTGTGGCATCACGTCAAGTTATGTCAGGGAGGTAACAGCATTTTGTATGTTTGAAGTGACATAATATAACTTGACTGATGCAACATGACTTGATATTAGAAAATAGTGGTTCACAGTGGAACTCAGGCAGGTATCTTCCCCGAACAAATGTTAGGAACTGAGAGAAGAGGGATGAGAGGGGTGGGGGAGAGAAAGGTTGAGAGAGAAAAACTTCAAGGCTCTCAATTTAGTCAGTTTCACTGTGTAAATCACAGCAGAATTTGCTGTGGGCAAGCCAACCTACGCACCGTGCAGCGCATTTATATATTTCAAGATAATGAGAGTTAAGATATTTCTGAAATGCGTAAATGTTTTGATCGGAAAGACCAGATTTCTGCTTAAAAAAGTAAACTGACATCAGGTAGCATGATTAATTCCAACAGATTGTGTTAATTGTAGTTGACTTAAATTGCTGTACAAATGTGTTGGGGGTTAGAAAACTTTTTTTTAATTGTTGGTGTGTGAAATGAGTAAGCAGATAAAGTGTTTAAAAAAAATCTGTTTGCGCAGGGAGTAATCCAGCCTCTTTGACATGATGGAGCAGTAAAGGAATAAAATGTACATTGATCCGGTACTGCATATTTTTTCATGAGTGCATTATGTCTGCTAGTTTGCTCTGCTGCAGAAGTCAGCTGTGACAGACAATAGCTAACTTCATTTTTATCAAAACCTTGCCTTTCTTGTAGTTACCAAAGTGGAAGTTGAAATGTACCGTATATTTTGGGGTAAGTCTGTCCTTTTTGAAGGTGGCGGGGTTGAACAGTACACAGAAGGAAGGATGGAACATTTTTGGAGTTCACCATTTTCTGATGGAGGCCAGTAGTATATTGGAAGTGGTAAAGTGCCTCAAATCTAAAAAAGGCTGTGGCTTTGTTAGTTTCTGCATGGATCCTTTTAACTATTAGACTTTAATCTTTGGGATAAAGTCCTCCTCCTTTCTAGCTTGTGACACTTCCTAAAAGAAAGTGATTATTTATGGTGGTTGCACTCTTACGCTAAAATACATATTCAGCACTTGCAAACTAGTATCACCAGGAAACAGGAGTTGTTGGAAGCACTGGATGAAAACAGCTCAATGTAAACTGATACATTTAACATCAAATATTCTCAAGGACTGTTAGGATTAAGTATTGTGAATGAAGGGGGAAGGAAAAGCCACTTCAGCTGGGGATAAGGAATCTAATTAAAAATCGGTATTGAGGATATATAACTTGAGCCCGCTATCATGCTCTTTAGAGTACTGTTGTATCAGTTGTAAAGGGGAGGAGGAAGTCTCATTAAAGCAGAAATGAAATGTTTTCTCAGATTAAAAGACTGAGATGAGTGAAACGGTGCTGTTGATCTTGGTAGCGAAGTGTCTGATCCCGCAATCCTTGCGAGAGCCAGTGAGACAACTGATGACTTGTCTGAAAAAGGAATGAGAGTTGCAGGATGTAGGATAAAAGACGTGGGCCCCCAACTTGTCATTTTATATCTGAGCATTGATGGCATTTCTGAAAAGTGGAGCAAACCTGTTAAGTGTTTGTATCGCTTCTGATTAGGTAAATTCATTTTAATATCGACCTAGTGAAAGCGGAGCTGCGTTCTCCGGAGTAGTACACCCTGAAACCAATACGCAACGCGTGAAAACAAACCCAAAATGTTTGCGCAGAAAATCCGTATCAAGTTTTAGGACACCAGAGACGTGTGAAATGTAGCTGGGAGAGCCGCGGGGGCTGGCGTAACATCAGCTGCGGAGAGTTGAGAGCCTCTGACCTGGCCGAGCTGCTGCGGGGCGCCGCACACAATCGGTGCTCGCAGGGAGCAGGGCCGGAGCAGGGCCGGAGCATCCCCTTGCCCCGGCCCGGAGCAGGCGGCGGCGGCGGCGGCGCAGGTGGCCCCGCGTCCGGCGGCACCTGGGCGGGGGCCGGGCGGGCTGCAGGTGGTGCTGCTGAGCCGGGAAGCCGCGCTCCGCCAGGAAATCCCGGCAGGAGCTCCGGAGGGGGCCCTGCGAAACGCGTGCATTTATTCATCGCAAGTGTGCAAGGCTCGCCAATTGAGAGGCAGAGGCAGCGCTGGTCGGGCTTAGGTATTCTAGCCTCTGCGAATGTAATTTCGGATTTAGATTCAGCTTAAATCCAAAGGGAAAACACTTTATAAGGCTGAAAGCTGTGTAGTTGCAACAGCCAGGGTTATGAGCTATCAAAGGCAATTACATTAAAATAGATTATACTGTGTAAATTGAGCCATTTAGAAGGTGAGAACCAAGGAAACAGCTCTGATCCCCCTTCTTTCTAAATTGCAGTTTTAGTTCCTTGCAATTCTGAGGCACAAAAGTAGGTGAGACTGCTTTTGTATCTGCAAAGTGCTTTATTTCTGAGTGTAATTCTAACTGAGTGCAATCTAGGTTAAAAGCTGGACAACTGGGTAATTAGAGCTCACTTGCTGCTAAAGGACGATCAGCTGTACCGTAGCTCATTTGTGTTCCCAGAGACTTGCTCTCCTCTCCCCTGAGCGGAGGCTGCTGGAGAAGAAGCATCTGTGCCCGGACTTTTCCTGATTGCGGAGATGATGGTGCTGGACAAGGAGGACGGTAGGTGGGCTGAGATTGTGTAAGCCTGTGCTCGGTGTCTTCTGCGTGCTGCTAATGTAGAAATAAATAGTTTTGAAACAGACGTGCGCTGTGCATTTCAGAGCGTTCTGCTCTGAGCGTCTGATGTTTTTCTCTTGAGTAGGTAAAAGCGTGCTTGCTCTTTATTTTTTTAAAATCTCATTGCTGACATGATCGGACAGCCAAGAACGGTTTACTCCGGGCTCTGTTTGCTGAAGGACATAGCAGAAACAGCTTGATTTTTTTCTTTTTAAATATCTATGTAGATTTTTCTTTCTGCAAGTTACTCTAATATATCCATTTTAGCCTGTTTGTTTTAACAGCTTTTATTGTAAATCTAATTTTGAGATTTTTCTTTCCCTTTCATTTGCATGCCATTTAGGTCTCTTTAATGTGCGGCTTTAATATCCATTTCTCACAGCTTTTCTTCATAGCTATAAACATAATGACAATAAGCTAATAAGCCTCTGTGGCAAAAAGGAAAAAAAAAAAGTGTTGGTTTATTCTAAGAATTTA